CACCCACTGCCAGCGCGTTTTCGTGTTCTCGACTGACCAGCGGCCGCCACGACAAGGAGGACAAGGACGCGGAGGAGGACAGCAGACGAATGCTCAGCACCAGCGCCCCCGCCTCCACCAACTGCCTGCTGGGAAACTTTGAGGTAACTACGGCGACGACGCATAATGACCATGTATTACTGACAGAATTTGTTACTTTAACTTTGACTTTTTTTACTTCCTCTGGATATCTTTACGATGTCGAGGGGAGGTGCAAGTTTCGGTCCTGTGATAGATATGTTATGTTGTTCCGGGACTTTTTTTACACCATCCAGCCAGGTCTTTCTTGGTCTTCCTCTTGATTTAAAGCCGGATTCTCGGGTGTTGTAAGCTCTAGCCGCTAGTTGTTTCTGGGACATTCTGGTTAGATGTCCAAACCTTTTGACTCTTTGACGCTCTATGAATTTTATTACGGGTGGTATTCCAGTTTGTAGACGTATGGTTTGGTTTCAAATGCGCTCTGTTCTGGTGACGTTATGTCATATGACCTTATGCAGTTCCGAGCGCCGTAAAACACCTCCATAAAAAAGTATAAAAAATTGTTTTTTTTTGTTTTCAGGAATCCATCCTGAACGGTAGGATAGACCCGGTGGGTACGGTTGACGGCTTCACGGCAGAAATCGGAGCCAGTGGTTCCTTCTGCCCAAAGCATCTGCACCTTCCTGTCTCCGCCTTCTTCTTCGCCCTGTCGGACGATAATGCCCCGTCGCCTTACCTGGTAAGTTGTTACGGTTGAGCGGTCAACTATACACGGATGCTGGGTTGTTTTTTTTTCCCCTCCGCTCTTTTCCGTTATTTTCTCATTTGGTTTTCCTTTTTCGACCCATATTAGTTGACAGTTATTTTATTTTATTTATTTATGTGAATGTAACTAACTACCTTTCAAGTTATTCCAGTTGAACGGAAAGTCATGCAGGGATTCCTTTTTTTCCCATTTTTTCCCCTGTTATTTCCAGTATGTTATTTTCTTGAAGAACAGTATTATTATTTATTCTAAGTGTTCATTTTCTGTTTAATCTCATACTAATTGCCTATTATTAAGTGTCTTTTTATTTGAAAATGCGACTTTGTAAATTTTCAGGTATTTTCACAAAATCCTAGTGGTATCCCTGGGTAGAATATTACTATTGTTATTAAAGTCATTATTATTATTATTGTTGTTATTTTTATTATTACTATTATTATAATTGAATAATAATAATAATTATTATTATTATTGATATTATGGTATTATTACTGCTATTGTTATTATTATTAGGCCTATCGTTATGTTAATATTATTTCAAGAACACTCAAACTGTGAAAGTCGCCAAACATTGGCAGCCATTTTCTGCGTTATTTTACCTTTGCCACCAGGTGACCCCTCCCCCACTCCCACCCCCTTCAGTCGCAAATATCTTGACTTCTATTTTAGATAGGTAGGTACCTTTTTTCAGTAAAAAGCAAGACAAGTGAACAAGCTTTAAGATGATACCAATAACCCTACATGCCCAAAAATTGACGAGAGCCTGATTCCACCTCGCTGCCTCACATATGTCAACTTCTGTTAAATATAGGTCATCAAAAGCGAGACAAATGAACAAGCTTTAAGATGATACCAATAACTCTACATGCCCAAGAAACTGATGAGCTCCTGGTTCCATCATGTCGTGACTCATTTATTTATTGTTTTCTTTCTCGCAGGGCCACATAAATCTACAGCCGGTCAGTTCCAAAGGCTACCACATCCCCAAGAAAGGCACGGTGCAAGTGGTCAGTATTTTGTCACAGATATTAATTTTATTTCCGTGCTACGTAAATGGTCGCTTTTAAGCACAAGGGGGTTATTCTGAAAACCTCTGTTTTGAGAAAATGGAAAGTAAAGTTTTTGGATCCTTATTCAGTTTCTTTTAAAAGACAAGGAGAGTTTTCTCTATATCCAAACAAATATACACACCATTGAAACCAAACTTCTCCTATAGGTAGGGCAATGTCCACTTTTGGTGTAGGTCAAGATTTCTGGTAACCCCCAGAGTCTCGGTTAGCCCGCTTGTCCTTGAAAGCGACCGTATGGGACGAAAGATGAAAGTCAGGACACGTTTGTTTCGACTGACCTTGGGTGTTTTTAGGTTTGCTTATATTTGTGTGTCTTGTTTTGATGTGTCTTTTTATTTCAGTGTAAAGTAGAGTGAGCGTGTAGCTTTTCTGGAAATAGATTTGTGTGTGTGTGTGTGTGAAAGTGTGTATAAAAGTGTATGTATATGAGTGTGTGTGTGTGTGTGTGTGTATGTGTGTGTGTGAATGTGTGTATAAATGTGTGTATGTATGTGTGTGTGAATGTGTGTATAAGTGTGTGTATGTATATATATGAGTGTGTGTATGCATATATATGAGTGTGTGTGTGTCTGTGTATGTATGTGTGTGAATGTGTGTATAAGTGTGTGTATAAGTGTGTGTATATGTATATGAGTGTGTGTGTGTCTGTGTATGTATGTGTGTGAATGTGTGTATAAGTGTGTGTATATGTATATGAGTGTGTGTGTGTGTGTCTGTCTGTTTAGCGCTAGTCTAGTTGTTTGGCTGCCAGTCTCGTGACTGTAAAGTCACACACACACACACACACACACACACACACACACACACACACACACACACACACACACTCACACACACACCCCAACCCGCACACACATACATATAAACATTATTGTATTAAGATATAGTGCAATCCCAAATCAGGCGTTTGCTGAACTTAAGATGCTTTTGGTGAGTTTACGGGGCTCTACTCCCACTCGGCTAGGACCTATCTGAAAAAGACGTTGCATTCGGAGCTTCGGAAAGTGACTTATCATACACCTGTTTTAGGCCCGCTCATATGACCTTATTTAGTTGTGAGAGCCGTAAAACTCTTACTAAACGACAAACAGCGTCGGTTTTAACAACTTGCGTGTCAGAGGTTATAATGTAAAGTCTAATGGCTGATCAGCGAAAGGTACAATTTCCCTCTTGCTGAGTACAACTCATGGGTCTCTGGAGTAAGGGTGACCCCTGTGAAGGACACAAGAGTAAAACAAGGGATGTCACTTCTGTGGCACTCTGAGAAAAGCAAAAATGAAACGCTTGACGCCTCACTTTCTCCTATTGTGAAGCTTAGTATCCAAGCCTCAAATTTTATTGGGCGACTCATCAGACTGAAGTCCTGAACACTTAAATGGGACAAAGGAGATTCGTAAACTTTTCAACCCACGTCACTATTCACATTATCCAAAAACTGGCATCTTTTTTTTTTTCTTTT